CTAGTATTTATCAAAACAAAAAATTATAAAAATTATAACTTTTTTAATAAATCTACTTATCAACCTGAATTGTTCAATTTAAATATTTTTAAAATTGACAATTTAAATTTATTTTGAATGGTCAAATTTAATATTAAAATTTTTTTTATATTTTTTATAAATTTTTATTTAGATAACTATAATATCCCAAAAAAAATTCCCCTAACTGGCATTCCCTATAAAATGATTTTTTAAAAAAATAAATTACAACTTAAGACCAACTTATCTAACAATGCGCATCGAAAATGATCCTAATGGGCACTAAAGACAAACTCACCTTACCCTACCCATCAATTATTGCATAATTATAAGGCATCAAAAGTATTAGGTATATGTTGGAGTAAAAAGTACAAGGCATATAAAAAAGGATTAGGTATATGTTGGAATAAAAAATACCAGCACGTGGGTATTAGAACTGTTGTGCATGTGCTATCAACCTAACTACAAGAAGAAATATGGAAGGTCATCTACAGGGATATTGTTAACAAATCAGGAGGTTATTTACTAATCAGTGGCAATATGGATTAGCTAATGAAGCTCATTTTGATGAAAGGCTTCTTTGTTATCTATGCTGATGTATTCTTTCTTTTATTTATAAATTATTTTTAATTACCTCACCAAAATTTAAGAAAAATAATTAATTAAATTATTAATATTGTCTTGAAAAATATTTTTTTTATTTACTCTTTTAAATGTATTATGTTTATAAATTAACTATCCAAATTTATTTTGAATGATCCAAATTTAATATTAACTTTTTTTTTATAATTTTTATAAATATTTTTAGATAACTACAATAACAATAATCTCCTACCTAACATTTCCTAAAAACATGATTTTTTTTTTTTGAGGATGACATAAAAATATCTTCCAAATAACAAAATGACAGTGATGAAATTGAATAATCCTTCTTCTTTTAAATATAAAACATCTTGTTGAATATTAAAAAATATAAAATATTTTTAATTTTTTAAAATATAATTGTTGTCTTTTTTTTAAGTATCTTTATTAAATAAATCACTTTATATTTGCCTTACAGTGAAATACTCTGTTAAATATGAATAAATATAAAAAAATAAAATTAATTTAAAATAAGTAATTATTTTATTAAATTAAAACTTAATTAAAAATATTTATATTTTTTAAACAGATGAAGTAATTATTATGAAGTCATAAGGATTTAGTGGCATCGTTTCATTTTGTAAAATGATTCTTTTATCCCTCTCTCTTTGAACAATGAACAGTGAAAAGGTGGTGACAGTTGGCACGTGGTGGCTGGATTGCAAAAATCTGTGCTTCTCCTTCCCAATGATTCCCTACAAAAACAGAATCTTTTGACATAAGGTACACATTTGAGCCCAAACTTTCATAAAATTTTTGGAATACAGTTTTTTTGTAAGTTTTACTTTAAACCTCATAATAATGTTTAGTACCAAAATCATTTCGCTTTACATCTTTTTATAATTAACTATTACCGATTAATAGATTTTTTTTAAAAAATAAGCTAGAAAATATTTTTTAAAAATATATAAATGATAAAAGTAATAAAATTTAATCTTTAAAAATAGTTTAAAAATGCAAATTGACATTACTCTAACCATATATAAACCCAAAATAAACCAATGATGTCCAAAAATACCTAATATTTATGAATTTTAGGACCAGAGAGGGTACCTCATTGGCTTATTAAAAAAAAAGAGTATACCTTGCATATTTACATATTTTTATAAATAAAGATTTAAAAGAGTTTAATTATTTAACATATACATAATTTAAAATAGAGAAAATTTTCTAGGTCTCAATTTACCGATTGAGAATTATAAATTTAAACAATTCAAATCAAATTTAGACTTTTCGCATCTTAATGAGCACAAAAAATGAAGAAGATGTCTAGAGGCTTCCAAGGCCAATAGCCACAATAACTGAGATTCAGAGGCTACTTTGGTTTGAATATATATATATATATATATATTTTGGCCAAAGGCAACTTTGATTTGAATTGCGAGAAGAGCAGATAGGATTAAAATTGTGCTCACCAAACTTTCAAAACATTTCAGCTAATTCATCAATTTTGTCCAAGACTAAATTATTCTTTGACATTCATGAAAAATATAGTTAAGGAAAATAATAAAAAAGGACCAAGCAAGGTTGACAATTACAATTTATAGCCATGTACTTGTGGTTTTATCCTTCATCTTTTCCCTTTACAAATTTTTCTGAATGTGTCAATGTTGTCATTTCAATATTTTTTTTTACTGTACTTAATATCTTTTACTTTACTTTATCTTTCTATGTACTTCGGCAAAAGAATGGACAAAATAGAAGCAGCTTTTAGATAATATCTGAATACTTTATATTTTAGTTAGGACATCATGTTCGGTGGACTACAAACCAAGGGATAAACCTTTTAACTATCAATTTTTTCACCTTTTTGGTGTAATGTTTTTCAGTGTAGTTGTAATAAGCCTGAAATTTTAAGAAAATTAAAATTAATGAAAAGGTATTTTGGTTATATTTTATATTTTTGGTGTAGCTAGATTTAATAAAGTGTATTGGTAGCTCAGTGGAAATTCTTGTTGCTATTATCTTGAGGTTTCCTATTTTATCCCTTACGGTGATGAAAGAGGCATTTTATTTATTTATTTTGGTTTGGTTTGGGAAAATTACGAAAATGTCATAATATAATCTAACTGCTTTGAAAAAAAAATTAACTTCTAGATTTGTAATTTAGCGTGGGAGTACCAAACCTTTTTTTTTATTTTTTAAGATTTTGTGTCACTACAATTGAGGACATTGGAATTGGGTTGAAAATTTCTTAACATTTGGTTGGGAAATAACTCTAGTTGACTTGAAAAATATTTAATTTTTAAACTTGTGATTTAGTCTGAGTATACCAATTTTTAGTTTTCATGTCCCAACTAAGGAGGACATTGGAGGGTTGGGAATTTCTTAATACTTGATTAGAAAATAACTCTTAAATATAATATTTAATTTACAACCAATTTTTTTTTTAAGTTTCCATGTCGCTATTGTTGATGACATTAGATTTGGTTGGAGAGTTCTTAATAATTGGTTGGAATATGTAACTGACTTGAAAAATATTATCATCCAGACTTTGATTTAGTATGAGCGTACACATTTTTTTAGTTTTTATATCACAAATAAAATTTCTCCATACTTGGTTGGGAAATAACCCTAACTGGGAAAGTCTTCTTGCATTAATCATAGGGGTATTTTAGTCACAATTTTTAATTGCACAGAAGGACCATGATTTTTAATTTTAATTTCACTATTTCATGGTCTTGAATTGTAATCATCAATCATACTAGCTCCTTATTTGTGATTTTCCCATATAATTAAGTTCTTCAATCTTAATTTTGCCCCACCTAGTTATAGTGTGTTTGGATAAGGGAAAAAATCGATTTTTCCCCTCCAAAATCGATTTTTTCAACAAATTGTCCAAACAGCCAAAATAAGACAAAAATCGATTCTCGCATGTTACGCGCGTTTTCTCGTAAGCGGATGGAATCAGCTTTTGCCAAAAGTTAATCAAAAAACGTTGGAGAAAATTACAAAAGAAAGCCCACGAGCAAATTACATATAAAGCACATAATTTAATAAAAATAAAATTAAACTCTTTTCTCTTCTCTCTTTTTTTTTCCTTAATTAAATTCAAATTTATATCCTCAAAAAATTAATTTTTTATATTTAAAAATTAAATTATATAGTAATTTATATAACTAAAATTGATTCTGATTAAATTATTCAAACATTTTTAATTCTGTTAAAATCAATTTTAAAAAAATAGTATCCAAACAGATTGCGTCATAACATAATCGATTATAATTAAAATCTACCACTTAATCAATTATTTTTATAATCTATTATACCTAACTGAAATCCAAACGGACCCTTACTCCGTTCATGCAAATGCAGATCCAATTTTTGTTTCTAATATTGATGGTTATTTTATTTGGGATTTTGCACATGAAATTTAAGGTGCTTCCAAAGCAAATAGCATAAAATTGTGAAAGAATCACGAAAATTCATCATTTATAATTGGACTCCACAACAGATCCAAACATCTAAAATTGTTTAGACATTCAATTGGGAGGAGCCAAATCAGGGATGGATCTGGAACCAACTTAATGGAGGGCCAAAATACGTAATTGCATTATAGCTGGGGACTAAAGTTTATTTTGCCATTTTTGACAAACAAAAACAAAATAATTTTAACAAAAAAGGACCTCCCAAATCCGTCTCTGAGCCAAATCAAGTCCTTAATTTTCCTTATAAGGGCCAAAATGTAATTTTACCAAAAAGGGCAAACACATAATTACCCTCAACTTAAGGGGTAAAAGTATAAAAATGAAAGAAATATGTCACGAGGGAGTAGAATGGAAATAAATGGTAGGAAGATCCTTTGGTTGACATTATGTTAAAAATCAACATATGTTTACTACACCCAAAATAGTGACGTAACGAAAATCGTGAAATTCCTTAACACTGGTTTACGACACAAGCTCACATTGATATGTTTAAAATAAATTGAAGACTTGAACTATGGAAATTCTGTCAATGATAAATAAAAAATGACATCGAAATCAAGTTTTAGTTATATAGCTTACTTCCATCCTAAATATAATTTTTCCCCAGTTCTTTGTATGTTTTCTTGAACACTTTTTCAATTCAAGAGTTTCAGACATTAGATCAATATTCCTAAATGTTTTCATTAACATTATCCAAACCAAATTCATTAAGTAATACAAGGTCATCTGTGTTGCACCACATCAAGAAAATGATGCAATCAAATTTGCGGAAAAGGGCAGCATTCGAAAATCAACTTAATTTTTCTTCCAAGTTCAAACCAACAAAAACACATTAACGTAATTCAAATAACAAAGGCAATGTTGTTCACAAGAGAAAATAAAAAGGGACTAGGCAAGGGAGAGAGAGAGTCCTCAAGGCCAAAGTTCATTATTCTCCAATTTCTCTCTTCTAAACAATTTCATATAAACTCATTTGTAGCTCCTAACTGTTACATGAGATGTAAGAAGGGGGGAAAATTATAAGAATCCAATGGTGCTCACAAAATTTTTAAATATTTGAATCTGATCTAAGCAAGTGTTAATATACAAAGCAACCTTGCCTGATGGTTTTCAGACAGATTCTGGGAATTGCAAGGGTTAGTGACACGGACCGTCTCTGCCGCCAGGTTGCTGCGTATTTGAAGTGTTCGTATGTTGCCGCCTGCTATGAGGGCTGGATCTGGTCTCGCCGGAGAGCCTGCTGAAGCTGTAACACCTGCTGTTGCTGCTCCGGTGGCAAGGAACTCAATTGCTCCGGCGTAAGACTCAATACTTGTTGCAGTAAAACCGATTCCACGTCAGGTGGAAGCTGAGGCTGGACAAGATAATTGACAAGAATGATATCACCTATATAGAATTACTGACTTCTTTGGTCACGTATAATGCACACAAATATAATAATAAGTTGGTAATCAAAGATGGGTTTGAGGTCCAAACGCAAATCAACTCAGTTCTAGTTTCATTTCAAGAAGGGATCAAGCATCATATAATCAATCCTATGGCACAGACGAGTGAATCTCATGGTTCTGGATTCTGATCCCAATCATGACTCAATACAGATACATTATGTATCAACTACAGATGATATCCAACCCTAAGGGTGTTTCAGAACAGAAGCAAACTGATTGATCCAAACCAAACAAAATTTAAAAAGCATGTGAGCGTGAGAGAAAATCAACAATTTTACATGTCAAACAATTTAATCAAATTTTTTTTTTTGGTGACATTTAAATGGCAGAAATAAGTTGTCCAAAAGATGTTATAAGGAAATGTATGTTGGCCTCGCAAGCTGGACGAATAGATGAAGGGCAAGAATGGAGAATTAAAGTCATAATTGCCACTACTCATACAATATGGGATTGTCGGAATAAACAGAAACATACAAATAAATTGATTGATCCAGTAGAAGTTGTTCAGAGAACAAGAGCGACCATTAACATCATGGCAGCATATTTGGATGCAAGACCTGATGAAGCCTATTTGTAGATCAATGCAAAAACAAACGACATTTTCATGGCAAGTTTGATTCGGTTATCAACATATGGCAGGGATGGAGCATCACTTGTGGCTGTGACAAAACTAAGCCAAGGAATAAATCAAAATGCAGGTTTAGATCTATAGCCCCGTACAATGCCTACATGGTCAACTGCAAAACATTTCTTCCTATGGAGAAAACCAAGATTGAAGGCACAATAATGGGAATCAGGTCTACATTGAATGGACTGCAAATCTCCAAAATGTTGGTAGGATTGAAGAAGATAATATTTGTATTGTAATTGATTCTAATTATTTTGTTAGGTCATTGTTTAATGCTAGGAATAGACCTCATTTTAAGACTCTCATAGAACACGTAAGTACATAGTGTGTTTAGGAACTGTAGTTAGGGGGTTTTGTCCCAATCCCTAAAAGGTTGGTGGCAAAAACTCAAGATTGGTTGTGATCTTGTAGTTTCATTTTTGAGATAATGAAACATTTAGTCTCTTAAATTTTGGTCTTTATTTTCGATTTGGTCTTTTATTATTTGAAGAGAAGGTAACACTATTAAAATCTACCAACAAGCATCATGAAATTTTGATAGCAGCCATGTAAATTAATAAAAATAGTGCAATTGTTTATGCAACCAAAACAAAAAAAAACAAAAAGAAACAGGAATTTTTGAAAATAGAAGAACAAAACACAATGTATGAGACTAGATTAATAAAAATTAAACTAATTTGAAGGCCAATTTGTTATTATTTAACCAATATACATGCCAAATCATCAACATACTTTATACATCAAATTAATTTGAGAATCACAAAACCTAAGGGACTAACATGATAGCTTAAAAATATGTAAGGGACTAACATGATAAAAACTAAAGGGACCAAATTGATTACTGAGACAAATGTGAGGGATTAAAAGTTTTACCATCGCTTAATTTTTTTGTATGTCCTGTTATGATGGGGAAAAAAACTACATGTACTCTTACTGCTCTTTTCTTACACGAATTAGTTATTTAGACCAAAACTGAACTGAACCAAATCTCTAAAGACCCTTGTTTGGACCAATGTCCAAAAAGATTTATTTTTGGGGACACAGAGAGAGACAATTAGAATGAAAGAAGAGGTACTATGAATGAACGAAGGTGGACAAGATATCCTCCTTTTAGATAAAACATATAAGTTATGCAGGAAATAAGTTCATATAAATGAGCTTTTCAGTCCCTCTACGGGTGCAACAAGGAATTTTATGAAAGAAATCTTGGCAAATGCATAAAAGAGACCTTGAAAACAAAACTATTTCAAGCAAAGACCAAAGGTAAATAAAACTCTAAAAACAAGTAGAACAAAGTTCATTGCATTATTGAATAGAACAAGAAAACACTCAAAATAATGGAATATGAAAACACTCAAAATAATGGAATATGAAACCAATTACTCCAAAATTTCAATACCAGTAAGAAATTCTGAAGTGTGACAATGATTGACCAACTACTCCATCATTATGATTGAGAATAATTATCAGATTCATGTTCAAACAAACCAACAAAACAAAAACAAAATTTGAGAAAATTTTGCATTGGCATCGAACAGATCACCAAGTTACACAAACCTGAGAGGATTGTTGCTCAGGGTATCGCGCTTCTGATTTGGAAGATGCATTTACAGGCAATGAGCCACTTCCAAGAACTTGGGAAGATCCCTTGGAAACAGGCGCATTTGTGACTCCTGTGGAGAAAGAGGAGTTCCTTCCATCATCCAATTTAATCAGCTTTGCAGGATGGCTAAATGGTTCTGAAGACTCGTTTGCTTTCTCTCCTGATCCATGAGGAATGTTTGAATATGGACTACTTTTCTTGGCCCAACTAGAATCTTCAATAACTTTAGCTGACCTGTCAGCTTCCCGACCAATTGACTGAGGAATGCCTGATGAAATGGATGGGCCAGGCTGTTTCAATCAATAAAGTTAGAAGCATGTGTTAATACACTACATTGACAGAAGAAAACAGAAAAACAGCTTCTACACATAAACAGCTCAGGAGCATCTTAAATTTAAAATTCAATATTTATAACGTAGTCAGGTGGTGCAGAAAAATGTTAATCATACTCAAGCATGATCTTTCTGCAAATCCATGCATGGTAAGAAATATAAGTTGCAGTCAGAATGTTAAAATGCAACCAGGGTAGGTTGTAAAGAAAATAACTTTAATTTGCTTCCGAGTACCAAACAAAAAGCTGAGTTTGTCTTGCTGTAAAATTAGTCTTTTTGGGTGGGGGCAGGGACTTCATTTTTGAAACATCTCTGGCCTTTTGCAAGAAAAGGTCATTCAAATAACCAACTCTTTCTCAGTACCGTAAGACCAAAAAACTTTCTTTTATATCATTTCAGAGGCCTAGGCCTAAGCATAGAGGGTAAATCGGTATATGTCATTTCCTATTGGCTTGTTTCACAATAAAACAAAGACAGAATTCACAAAATTGGCTCCCACCTGAAAGCTTGCATCTGGACGAATCATCCAAATATTTTGTCCTACACTTGAGTTACCAATCTTCCCTGAATGCTGCAACAAATGCATTTGCTGATTCAGAGAAGTTGATGTTGCCAGCTGAGCTGGTGGTCCAATAGACAAACTGGGCTGATTTGGTGGTCTAACAGGCAAACTGAATAAAGACTGTGGGCGAACAGAAGGAAGTGATGAACTAGAATGCCCTGGCTGCAAAGGGTTGCTTAAATGTTGTGGAAGCAGCATTCGAGGCTGCAAAGGAGGCTTTGCGTGTGCAGTTAGTTGATTAGGAACCAAAGAATTATGATGTAAAGAGCCGACTTGAGCTTCTTGACTATTGGGTATCAAGCTAGACTGCAACTTGATCTGCGCATGAGAAGGCAGCCCAGATAGCGTTTGAAGAACTGCTGACTGACTTAGCTGGCTTTCATCTACTGGAGGCTGTGAGGTTTCACCTGCAACTTGCCTAAGGTTTGGCATTTGTAACTGCAAATAAAATAATAATAATAATAATAATAATAATAAGAACAACAACAAGAAAGTAAAAGGGATAAATATCATGCGAACAAAACAATTTGAGGTAGTGAAACATACCACTTGCGGGGTCACCATTCCTAGCATTATCTGCGCCTGCAAATACAGAAAACTATTATTTACGGCAAAAGCAATCACTAAATGCTTCAACCATTAATTTCTTGCAATATAAATTTAATGGGAACAGGATTAAACATTTTTAGTAACAGTAAGAAATGATTTTTTTTTTTTTGAAGAGTGAACCATTAAAGAACTGTTCTTGCACAAACATACTAAGAAAAGAGAAGGGAGAAAAGTCCAAACCTGAAAAAGAGCCTTAGGCAACTGCTGTCTAGAAAGCAACAACTGACGAGCTGACTCCTTGTTATGTGTAGCCATTGCCTGCCGTCATTATAAATAACAAAAAAAATAATAAGAAATGGTAACTTGTGCAAGATGAAATTATTTAACCCAACACTTACCTTGAGCTCAGAGATGATCTCAGTCAACTGATTCCTGGATAGTTTGGCCAGATGCAGAGTTAAAGGGTCATGGGTCAATCCAGACTGACCCTGCAAACCATTTTGATTTGCCGGGATGCCAGATTGAGGCCCTCCTAGAGCTGCTGCCATGACGGTTGCAGCTGTTATAGCAATATGAAGACCAATAGGTTGATGGTGAGCAGCTTCCCCATGGACAACAGGCCCAGCTAGTTGTTTCTGATGGTCTTTTGTACATTGTTCATGAAAAGAAATGATAGAAACTATTCAGTGTCTATAGCCTGAGACAATTAATCACAAAAACTAAAGAAGGATAGAGAACCAACCAACATTTGTTGCCAATCCAGGCCCACCACGACCCTGTAACAAAAACAATCACCATTTAAAATTTTCATGTAACTGACATTTGGAGCATGACTGATTCATCCAATTATAATGAGGAAAAGCAAAACAGGTAAAAAGCAACAACAGCAAAAATATACAATTATTTACAGGATCCAAGATACCTTTTGCATCAATTTTGAATTTTATGAAGGCTATTAATTTTATTCTCTGAAGGAAAACCTGGTTCAGCTTTGTTTGTTTTTACCAAGAATTAAGGAAAAACAACAATCTCTTTTAAGTTGTTTCGTTCAAGAGAACATATGTTCAGAATTTATAACTTAATTGACTGATCAATCAATCACTTAAACATCTAGTTTAAGCAAGATAGGAAACATCCATCATGATTACTAAACTAATTTCTTCTCTGACGTTGAAGAATCTAATCCTCACATCAGCAAGGAAAAAAAAATGGCCTCCTCTTTCCCTAGAAAAAAGTGGTCATACAAGACTCCTCTTTCACTAGAAAAGTGTAGCCTTTTGGCCCTTTTAGTGCCTGAAAATTCAAGTAAAAGAACGGTTCTCCACTGCCATATTTTGATAGCCTCATCTTATTTGATAAGCATAGCAATCCATGTATTAGGAAATCATAAAACATTTACCGGAAACAAGCCTGCTCGTGTTAAATTTAGGTCCATAATAAATGACAATAGCAATGATAGATAATTGAATTAATTTTGTGATTTTAAGTAAAATTTCAATTGATTAAAACTTCATCATTCCGCACAGTGAAGAAAATTCAATGACCAAGAATTTTAGAACATCAAAAACGGCTGAGATAAACAAGTCCAAAGAAGCTTTCTACTAAGACTAGCATAGACAAGCGCAGATAGAAGGATAAGGACTTAAGTTGTCTCATTTTTTTTTCATCATGAATCTGATCATTTCTTAAAAGAAACATAGATCGTGAATGACAAGGCAAAGTGAGTTACATTATTGTTGGGAAATGAATTCTACCATCTTACCTGTTCTCTATTTCTGTCAGCACCTTTGTCATTTTCAGCAAAATCAACACGCAATTGCCGCCCATTAATCTCATAACCCTGAAGGTTGCGACGAGCACTTAAAGCTGTCTCTTCATCCTTATATTCACAGAACCCATAACCTTTTGGTTTTCCAGTTTCCCTATCGATTACTAACCTGCAGAGTACATAATAATAAAAGACTTCAACCAAACATTTCTTTCTGAATAAAAACATACAAAACTTCAAAAAATATTAGGAAAACCTATGTCAGAAAATGAACCTTATCCACTACTACAAACATGGGGGGGGGATTGTTTAACCATTAAAGGTATACAAATCAAATGCATGTGAGGCATACTAAATATGCAGCAGCTTTTAACTTCCTTCTCATGATGGATTAAGGAACAATTTCCATCAAGCTGGTAAAATAAAGTCATCTATAGTAACTTCAATGTCAAATATAAGAATATCTGAGCTGCAAAGATCTCAAGATTAAGGTAACTACATTTACCCTATTGAAGACATCAATCTACGGTTAGAAGTTTAATTTTTGCACTACAGAGAATGTTTCCCTACTCTTCCCAAACAGTATAGCAATCATTTATAAAACTCAACCAGTCAAAATTTCAATTTTTTATTTTTTTCCCTTAAAAAAAGAAATGCTATAGTTCTCAAATAACGGCTTCTCCATCAAAACTTACCTGAATGACACTACAGGCCCAACCTCCTGGCAGATTTCAATAAGCTGTTCCTCTGTGGCATCATACGGTATGTTCCCAACTAAAATACATCCAAAGGAACAAACCAATCGTCATAATTTGCAACAGCTAAAGGTCAAACCATCACAGGAATAAAATCAATAAAAGAATAAAACTTCGAAATTCCCATCACTACCCAAAATTCTTCAGCCCCCCATAACTTATAACTGGAAATCTACGAAGAAAACAGGGTTTTAAGGAAAGAGGAATACCAAAAACGCAGCGATGCTGGGAGGTGGCCATGAAATCAGGAGGAGAAGGAGAAGGTGAAGCGCTGCTCCATCTTCTTCCTCCTCATGAGCATGCCTGTGCAATTGATTCAAAAAGCAGTAGATTGCCTTATGAAAGGCTTCGAAGATGTTGACAGTCTTCGTCTCGGAGCGCGGGAGAGCAGATTCGCACCAGTTTATGTGGTTCCTCTTTTGAAGAGAGAGTACGAGGAAGACAAACTAAGGGTTTCTATCTTGTTCACGCCTTGGAGCTGGCCTTTCTTTTCTTCATTCTCCCCCCCCCCCTTCTTTTGTGAACAGAAACGGACAGAAAAGAAATGGTAATTTTTTTTTCTTGAGAAATGGTAATTAGTAAAGGTTTTATTTAAATAAGGAAAAAAATCGAGAAAGGATTATAGACTATTTGTAGGTAAAAAAAATATTAAATTAATAATAATTAAGATATAATAAATATTTCTAAAAAATAAATTAAAAATAAGAATTTAAAAAATTGTAAAAATAAGTTATATAAATATTAAATATAATTTTTGAATTGTAACCATTTAAATCAATAGTTATTAGTTATTATTACTTATTTAAAATAATTGTAAAAACTTAAATATCATTAATTCAAATTTTTAGACTGAACTATCATGTCATTCTCTAAAAAATTAATGACATATCAGTCTTCAATTCTCAGTCATTATTTATTCTTCATCTATATAATTAACATTTTCAACATAATTTCTCCACTACTCATAAATTTTTTATTATCACTTTTGGTAATTTATTCCACAAATTTAATTACATTTTATATAATTTTTAAGAAAAAAATATTTTTTAGAGTAAGACAAAATCATTGAACTTTATTAATAAATTACATCATTCAACTTCAAAGAAAGCATGTCATTAAACTTTATAAGACCAACAAAGTAGGTTTTCAAGGGAATCATGTCACATTTACATTTTCATTCAATCTCACACAATTAAGTTATCAAATATAAATTAATAAATTAATTAACACACATAAGTAAGAAAAAAAAATTTAATTACCTCAAGCCTTTAGAAAGTCAAAAGTTTTACCCCTCAATTATACACTTCTAAAGCTTTCATGAAACTTGAATGGTACTAATATAATCATTCTACAATAAATAACAATATACTTCATCAATAAATCACAATATGCTTCATCAATATTCATTTTTCGATAGTTTTCCACATTTAACTCAAACACTTTTTCACTCTTAAAATTCATTTTCTTATCATATAAAAATACCTGTAGGGTTTCGTAGCTTCCTCTAACTCATATTAACTTCATTAAACTCTTATATAACTATTAACGAAGCCACATTGCCCTAACTATCATAATTAAGGTGGAATTTTGGGTATTTAATGCCCCAGCTACCAAACATCATAAAGTCATAAATGCTAAGTTTCATTAGCTTAATCAACTTTCAATGATTCTATTTAAGTTAATGAGTTTGAATTTATTGCCTTTATAAATCAAAAATCATCATTTTCAACTAAACCCTAACTTTACATCTAAATAAAATGGAAGAGAAAGGTAGATTTAGGCTTAAGAAACTTACCTCTAGTGTTTATGAGCTCTAAAACACTTCAAATCTTTGAATCTTCCAAACACTAGCACAGCTCTTTAGTTGCTTCTTCGTTTCTCTTTTGTTTCTACCTTGTTTTACATCAATTTCTGCAAAAAAGTGACCATAGCCATGGCAAACATACCATGCATCGTGGATCATAGCACCAAGAGGTTTGCCTTGCCTGTTTCACAAACATATGCCACGACAGATAAACCACAAGTCACAATGTGGGGTACAAAACCTCCTCCTTCATATTTTCTTCCTCTTTTCATATCTAGGCTACCTGAATTCACTTTCAAACCTGCATTTAGAGTTGAAATTACAACTAAACACATATGTTAAACCTCTCTAGCCACACAACTTACTAATAACTTGAATTACTCCAATCAAGCTTAATTAATCAAGTTTTAAATTTTAAGGATGTTAGATGCTTTATATTTTTTGTCACCTAGGTAGCATGAGAGCTGCACCTTTCTAGTCAACTTCAATAATCTGATAATGCATTAATATTAAACATTAACATGATTAATTGTTTAATCAATAATGCATGATTGATTCCTAACATAAATATTAGGGTTAATATAAATGTAATAAAAATAAAAAATAAAACTAATGCCTACAAACTATAATCCGATGGAATCATGGAAGAGCTTGGGGAAATGTGCAAGGCAGGTCAGGGTAGTTTGGGAAAAATGGGCAAAGAAAAATGTCTTCCCCCTCATAAATTCACTTACTTCAAATTCCAAAATCTCAAAGCAAAAGTAAGTCTTACGTGCGTGTTTGGTTTACCCTTAGTTAAAAGTTAGTTTATTAAAAATTTATTTAATAAAAATTAAGTTAATAAAAATTAATTATTATAACATAATTTGGGAATGAGTATATTTTTTTCAAACGTACTTTTAAATGTATTATTATTAAAAAATATTAATTTTATATTTTATAACTTTTACTATATAAATATAATATATTAAAAATGTTTAAAAAATATTCGCGATAAAAATTTTAAATAATATAAAATTTGATACATTAAATAATAAGAATAAAAAATATAAAATTTGATATATTGAACAAAAATTATATAGACAGTTCAATATACATTAATACTGAAAATTAACATTATTAATAAATAACAATCTCACATAACAAGGGTTCAAATTAATTTGGACAAGAAGTAGTAATACCAACACCTCAATTTATTTTCAGAATCCACTTTTAAAAAGCCATCATGAACTATATTAGAAAAATTCACTTTCAACCACTTTTAGAATATACTTTTAAAATGTACTTTCTTACATTTGACAAAATCACTTTTAAAGTTAATGAAAATAAACCAAACAGGATTCAGTTATTTTTAAGATTTGTAAAAGGACTTTTCAAATTTCAAAATCTGAAAACCAAGCGGGTATTTAAATTTTCAACCCAACCAACACATCAATAACCTGAACAAAGTCCAATGTCGATGGAAAACAAATTCAAGGGTAATAGCTAGACACCGTTTCTCCAGTAACAACTTGAACTTTAAATCAAATAAAATAATAATTATAATCTTAATCCACAATCTATTATGTTTTTTTAAAAAATTTAACAAAATACAATCTAAACTTTTTCTTTAATAACAAAATTAACCTCATCCCAAGATGACCGTAGCCCACAAGGTAAACGGCAAAGCCTTTCTGCTATTCAAATCAAGAACGCAACAACATAAAGAGGCCTAATGAATGAAAACTCATGAGCCCAATTCAAAACCTACAAGAGATCTTTTTTTTTTTGTTAATAACCTACAAGAGATCTAATAACAATCAACAATAGACATCAAGGAAAAATGCAGTCCATCAAGCAATCCGTGAAAAAAAAAAAAAACAGTCCATCAAGAATTAACAAGACTTAGTCTGGTGAAAGAAAATAGTTTCTCGGGACACACGTTAAACCTAAATTTGAAATTTTGTTGAAAAAAAATGCTCACATTTAATGTTTAGTTGTGCTTCTAGGACACATGTGAATAATTTAAAAAAAATACAATTAGTCTATTATTCAGATACATAAATTTTATGGACTTGAGCTTCATCTTAATCCAAGAATTTTTTTTATTATAATTATTTTAAAATTTAAAAAAAATACCTAATTTACTCTGATTCTCTCAAATTTCAACTATCATATTTCAATACTACACAAACATGTAAATAAGCCATACAAGCAAGACAACTCATTTGTATTGATATGGATTTTTTTATATTACTTAAATAAAGAATTTTAAATTTTAAAAGAAAAACATAATCTTTAATTTTTATAGTTTCATTGGGTTTTATTTTTAGTCCTTGTAGTTTTTTTTAATATTTTAGTCCTTAAATAAGGACTAAAAACATTAAAAAAATAAAAAATTATAGGAACTTGAAAACAATGATTACCTAATTTTTTAAAAATTATAGAAACTGAAAATACTAAAAAAAAACTATATGGACTAAAAACAAATTCAATGAAACTATAGGGACCAATAATTATGTTTTTCCAATTTTAAATATATGATTTTTTTTCATAGAAGTAAATATATGAAATTTAAATGTAAGATCTTAAATTTAAAATATAAATTCAAATACATAAATATATACAAACGTTGCTTAAAGTTAAATATACTATACCACAACCATGCATCATTGGAAAAACCAGTCCACGATATTAACTGTTGTTTCCTGTACTAAAATATTCTTTCCAATCTCACAGTCAGCATAATCTTAAATAGCCATCTACAATTAACAAGTCCTTCTCTACGATAGCAAAATGCCCAAAGTGAGCCACTAGACACTACGTACACTTGGCAATTTGTATCAAAATGCATTTACAAATTACAAATATATTTAACATTATACACCCAAAGGAGGAAAAAATTCATATATTTTAGGAGAAACATAACTTTTGACTCTTACACTTTGCTCGTGATTTGTTATAGATCTTTGTACTTTTTTTTATCTTTTAAATCTCTACATTTTTATTTTTTAGTGTTCTAAATCCTTTTCAAGGTCCTTTATACTTTATTTATTTAGAAATTTAAAACATCAAAAAATAAAAGTATAGAAATCTATAACATTAAAAAAAAAGCAGAGACCTATAATAAAATACGATCAAAGTGTAAGAATAAAAAATTATATTTTTCCTTGTATTTTACTAGAGATAGATATGAGAATCAGTTTTGCTATTGCTTTCCTGGTGGCTGGGGCGAAGCTAGTTTTTTATTTTGAAATGGCTGTAATTGAAAGGTATTTATCACAATCACCAAATTTGATAACAAATTAATAACACAAAAATATGTTGAATGAAGATTTTCAAGTGTTATTGCCTCAATTTCACAGTCACACGTACATATAATAGGCAATTAATCACTGAAAACAGTCAATTAGCATGGAGTGCTATTACAATTAAAGAAGTTAACAAGAAAGAAAAGTGACAGTATAGTAAAAAAAGAAGAATGCCCAGGGAGGACAAAGGAGGAAAGGGACTACAAAATTCTTCTTTGCCTTCCACCAATGCTTTACTCCTTATATACCAATTCTTTTTCATTAGTTGGCATAAATATAATTTATAACCCAACCATAACCATTTCTTATGAGCCCAAACATAACCATTGGCCCATTAGTTGACAACTTATAATCCAACCCAAGTACTGAGGCTAATCCATTACAATTTATA